CCGCCTCCCGCTTGGGCCGCGGCGCCTCCCGCGGGGCAGACGCGGAGCGGGAGGGCGCGGAGCGCGAGCCCCGCCGCCTGGGGTGCGGAGCGCGGGGGGGCGTCGAGAGCGCAGAAAGGGCGCGTGAAAACGGCGTCCGAAACGCGGGCTCCGCGCCGCGCTGCCCCCGCGCCCCCATCCCTCTGGGGCTCCGGCCTGGGGAGGGGGGCAGAGCCGGGGGGCGGCCGCCCCATCCCGTCCTCATCGCGGGCCGGGCCGAGCAGGTCCCTCCGCAGGGGGCAGCCCCCCGAGGAGCCCCACTCGGCCCTCGCCCCCCAAGGCCGGGGGCGGGCAGAGCCCCACGGGGAGCGGGGCCACCGCTGCACCAGGGAACCTGCCCCTCGCGCCCTCCTCATTCCCCTCCCGGCGTGGCGAGAAACTCGGGAAACTTTTCCCCCGCTCTCCTCTGTTTTCCGTAGCCGGGGGCAGCGGGAAGGTGCGCGCGCCGCTGCGCCCAAGTTACTCGCTGCCCTCTGAACACGCACACGCCCCGCAGGAGTTTCCCGAGCTTGCGGGAGCCGCTAGCGACCGCGGCTCCCGCTCCCGACCCTCCCCAGTGATGCGGGAGCCGCAGGGTGCTAACGCATACGTTACTAATACAGATAACCATACAGTGCATGCAGATATGCACAGACACGCGCTGTATGCACACGCGCGTGCAGGGGATGCGGGGCAGGCTGCGCCCCGAGCGCAGCCCCACGTGCTGGGGCTCCGCGCAGCGCGGGCAGCCCGCACCTTCCCTCTCTCCATCCCATCTCCCTCCATCCCTCCTCCCGTCCCTCTCCGGGCCAGGCCGGGCCCACTCGCGCTGCCACGCGCCGCTCCGCGTGTGCGCGCGCGCCTATGTGTGTCCTCCCGTCCCTTTAAATAAACTTTTGAAGCGCTGCCGAGGAGAGGCTCCTCTTTCCCTCTCTACCATCGCCTTCTTCTGCTCAAGGTAAAGGACATGTTAATTGAGGGATTATTTTTCAAGCTCCGGTTACAGGCTCGAAGCAATAATTTTACTGTGGGCCCATGGTTTGATGAAAAATATTGACGTATCCGGGTGTGGGGAGGCGGGGGTAGCAGCCCCACGCGCATACGTACGAGGAGGCTCCGAAAATGCCTCTTTTCTCCCCCTTGCCGCCCCAGAAGATGGAGACGGAGCTCAGTCCCCGGCTGTCAAACGCGAGCAGTGCGCTGCTTTAAACCACCCGGGATTTTCTCAGCACCAGAGCAGAGATTCCCGAGCGGACTTCGCGAATCGATTCCCTGTCCCCGCCGCTCGCAGCCCCCTCGGTCTGCGCTGGGAACCCGCGCGCTCGCTGCGCGCTCGCTCGCTGCCCCGCGCCGTGCGGGTGCCGCAAACCGCCCCCCGCTCCCCCAACCCCTCCGGGGAGGCCGAGGGCGCCCACGGAGCGGACCCGAGGCTGGGGGGGTGGGGGAGAAGGAGGGGTGCCCCCCATCCCTTAACCCCCCAAAACCAGAGATGGCCCCGGGCAGCAGCGGCCCGGACGGGGCGCCCAGGCCCCGGCGCCCTGCGAGGCACCGGGACCCCGAACTCCGCACCCCACGGGGGAGGGGGGGGGAACGAGAGGTCGTGACACGACCGGCGACACGGCGGTTCCCCCCGCTCCCCAAAACTCGTGCCCTGGCATCACGTGCGAGCGCCTCCAGACCGACCTCGCTCCCCGCAGGAGAGGCGCCTGTCCCGCTCCCTCGCGCATCCCCCGCGAACGCCTGTCTCTTCCCTCCCTCCCCAGCTCAAAACATACCTACATGCATACATACATACATATACATATATATATTTTTTTTTTT